ACAAATTTTTTTTTTAGAAAAATAAAAAGTTAGAAAAATTTATGGATAGAAGTACTATATATAAAAAATTTGAATTCAAATTTAAATTTGAATTGGCTATGTAAACTTTTGACTTATAAACTTTGGATCTGTATAAACTTTAGATGTATAGAAATACTATACATAGAAAATATTTGAATTCAAATTCAAATTTAAATCGGATATAATTCAAATTCAAATTTGAAACGGGTATATAAACTTTTGACTTATAAACTTTGGGTCTATAAACTTTAGGTGTATAAACTTTAGATGTATATAAATACTATATATAAAAAATATTTGAATCCAAATTTAAATCGGATATAATTAAAATTCAAATTTGAAACAGGTATATAAACTTTTGGCTTATAAACTTTGGGTCTATAAACATTAGGTGTATAAACTTTAGATGTATAGAAATACTATATATAAAAAATATTTGAATTCAAATTCAAATTTGAATTGGATATATAAACTTTTGACTTATAAACTTTAGATGTGTAAACTTGAGGTGTATAAACTTTAGGTACATAAATTTACTAAAATAGGAAAATAATGCGGTGCCAAAAAAGAAACTAGGTGGAGGGAGGGGGGCGCTACCCGATCGCTACCCCATCGTCAGGGCGATCGATCGCCCATTAGAGGTTTCGCTTTCTTTGATCAAACAGATACGTAGGTGTTTCGGTCTTCTGGGCATTTTTTTTCCAATTAATGAACCAAAGCTGCCAAGGTAAGTTTCGGCTATACTGGTATTTCATGGCGGTACTGGCCGTCCTGTGCAAACACTAGTAAAAAAACCCCTATAGGTACCGGTTGGGAACCGGAGATAGGTGTCGGTTTCCCAGCCGGCACCAATGACGTCATAGAAGCGACACCTTTGTGCTCTCCCGAGTTAAAAAAAAAGAAGCCGGCTCCAAGCCGAGCAGATGGACATCAATAATCCCCATTCAAGCATGATTTTACAGATCACAAATCAAATCAAGCAGATGAATGATAATAATCCCAATTCAAGCAATCCCTAATCCAGTCCATCACCAATCACATATATGAACAAAACATCAACAACAAACAACAATAATTCCCAGGCCAGCAATCACAGATGAAGAACACAAGCAAATGCACAAACTCGCTTGTCAATCCACCAAGTCACCTCTGGGTCCATCTCCACGCAAGGTCGCCGCCGAGGTCCTCTCCGCACAAGGTCGCCGCTAGCCGCCGGAGAGCGCACGAGGTTGCCTCCTGCTGCTGGGTCCCCTCTCCGCGTGAGGTCGCCGCTGGCCGCCGGCCACCGACCGCCAGGTCCCTCTTCATGCTGACGTCGCCGCACCCATCCCTCTCTGTGCTGAGGTCACCGCCGGTGGGGAGGTTGTCACGCCCTGAAGTTTTTCCCTTCTTCTTTCCTTAAAACTTGTTAAATAAATCGTCCGGAGAAATGGTTCAAATTAACCTAGAGCTAATTCCCTAACTAATGAATGCAATTAATAATCGGAAATAGCGTGGTGGAATTTTTCTTGAGTTCCCCATGCCCTAATGCATTAACAAGATTTTTAGTGGAATTTTCATAGGCCGCAATATTTAATCCCAGGAATCCTTTTTCCTTTTTCTTCTTTTTATTTTCCCTTTTTTCCCACTTCTTGGGCCGTCGGCCCAGTCCACCCCGTCGCCCGCGCGCGCCCCTCTCCTTCTTGGGCCGGCCCGCGCCCCTTCTCTCCTCTTTGGGACGCTGATAGGTGGGGCCCAACTGTTAGGTCGTCCCCAACCTCCAGCCACCCGCGCCCCGCAGCAACCGCCGCCCACGCCGGCGCCCCACCTCCCCACGCCGCTGTCGTGTCCCGCCTTATCCGCGCCCCCACTCCGCCCGCACCTCGCGCCCACATCGCCGCCCCACTCCTCCACCTCTCCCGCTCTCGCGTGCGCGCTCGCAAGGGGCGGATTCAATTTTGAATCCTCTCTCTCTCTCCACTCTCCCACGTCTCCGGCCACATAGGGGCCATCCCCGGCCACGTCCGCCTCTCCCGTGCCTATAAAATCCTTCCCCCGAGCCTCCTCTCCCCCTTTCCGCTCTCGCCACCCTCTCCCGTGCCTCCTACCGAGCCCGCGTCGCTCGCCGCTAGCGCCGCCGCTTGCCGCCGCCTCCAGCCGCGCACCACCACCGCTAAAGCCGCCGCCGCCGCTAGCTTCACCGCCGCGTGGGTCATCTCGGCCACTGCCTCACGTTGCCGAAAACCCACCGGAACCCCATCTCCCTCGCGAGCCGGTGAGCTCTTCCATTTCCCCGTCTTCGGCCGGCATCCCTGCTCACCGTGGACTCTTTCTCCCCCTCTAACCTCTCTCTTTTACTCTCTTAGGGTGTCCCGGAGCTCGGCCGTCGCCCGCCGTCATCCTCCGGACACTCGCCGTCGCCGTTCGTTGTCGCCTTCTCCCGCGCTAGCGAAACCCCGGTGAGGCCCCCCGCCTCCTCTTTTCCCCTTTCCTCTCCTTCCTCCCGCTGCCGCCGCACAGCCGCATGGGCCGTGCGCCGCCGCTTCCGCGCCGGTCGCCGCTGCCTCCCTCGCCGCCGCTTGCCGTCGCCGGCGACCGCTCGCTGCCGCCTCTCCCCATGGCCAGCCAACCGGCTTTGTGCCGAGCCGAGCCGAGCCCTGCCGCCAATCACGGCGTCCGATCGGCCTCGGGCCGATCCGGACCGTCGGTCCCGTGGACCGACGGTGGACCACCCGCGTGGTCCCGGTCCACGGTGGACCAGCCGCCTCATGCCGCTGACATGCGGGGCCCGCCTGCTGGCGCCCCCGCATCCACTGACGTCAGCCCTGGTCAATATTGCGCAATAAATTGATTAAGGACTTTTCTTTATTAGTAAAAACACAGATTATCTTCTAAAATTCATATCTAATTCATCCGAGCTCCGTTTAAGTCCATTCAAGTCTCAGTAAATTCATAAAAATCCCTAGAATCCATTAAAAATGGTTTTGTTTCCTGTTTCAGTAGTCTTATAGCATGTTTTGCTTGTGTGCTTTGTTTGTCGCGTAGATTTCGGCCGTTTCGTCGATCCGCGGTTTCTCGAAGACGTTGCTGTGGTGAGAGCAAGGCAAGTCATGCATTACAATCGATCATATTGTACCCAATTTACAAATATCCCATATTTCTATTAAATGTTGCATTCTTTTACAATGTCATGTGGGATGGGTCCTATTACTCAGCCATTTATTGTTTACCTTATGCCATTGATAACTTGGGTATCAAAATGACTAGATGTTGGTTTAAGAAATGCTTAGCCATGCTTAGTTCAACTAGTATAAAAATGGGGATCACATTATTACAGAGACTTTGACTATTAGCATAGCTTTGGATTGGTGCCATCGCAATGGTGTTAGTCAATTAAAATACACTGAATGGTGGGCTGTGGGTGCATGGTTTTGCTGGTCGCACTCATGGCAATTAAGGAGTGGGTACCACAAGCGGGAGTGGGTACCTGCTTGATCTGAAGTATAGCTCGACCCTTTCCTAGGCACCAGTGGCGAGGATGGGCGTGATGGAGTTGGGTCGACCGGGGTGTCCAGTTGTCCAACTGCCAGATTCATCGTGGCGCAAGAGGGGACCGCCCACTGCCTTTTGAGGGGTGGGGGTGAAACCTTAGCGTGGTGTGGATGGTTAGGGGAGGGTTATGCGGAGGGTCTGGTCACGATTTCCCCCTTTGCAGTATCATGGTGATACTTCGGGTCATGGCGACATGTGTGGAATCGTGTCTTGTGGGTACAATTGTACAACTCTGGCCAGAGTAAAACTATTCGAATAGCCGTGCCCACGGTTATGGGCGATCAACCAGATTCACCGTGATTAGTCTCACCCCTAGTTTAGCTTAATGAACTGGTGTAGTTCAGGTGGTTGGTTAGGCCTGTTGCAACGTGGTGTAGCGTTGGACAGTGATTGGTTAATATTGCTTAATTACTACAATTGTTTTACTGCTTTCAACTACTGTTTTTAAATGTCTGCTTTATTGCAAATGAACCCTTTAGCCTCCTTTGGTTATATCCTGCATCATACCTCCTCTTTCGGTATGACTTGCTGAGTACAGTGGGTAGTACTCAGTCTTGCTCTCTTTTTCCCCACACCAGAGTTGAAGTTCTTCCCAGTTGGAGCTATCTCAGAAAAGTTGGTTTCGTCGCTGCCGTCAAGGATGCCTGTGGAGTGGAGTCGCCCCGCTGCAGAAGTCAACCTTCCAAGTTTAGCTCGCTTTTATCTTTTCCGCTGCATTTGTAATCTTTTATATTTTTGTAAGACATGGATATGTATGTCAACAATTGTCGTTTATGTACACTGGCTGGTCCTGGATAGGGGTTTAATGCATATCCAGCTTGGAAATTCTGGTTCGTGAATTTCTGGGCGTGACACGCCCGTTGCGGGTGACGTAGCTTGCCGGCTTGGAGAGGGGGTGGAGGGGGAGGGGGAGGAGAGGGTGGCGGATCGGAGGAGGAGGAGAGTGGGGAGGGGGCCAGACCGCCAGAGGGGAGGGGGAGGGGAGGGCACGGCGGAGGAGGGGGCCGCAGGGGACGGCGGGGGAGGGGGAGGGGAGGGCGCGGCTGAGGAGTGCGGCAGAAGGGCTGAGGGGGCCGAGGCCGCAGAGGGGAGGGCGCAGATAAGGTTAAGGATAAGGATGGAGCGTGTGCGCGTGGATAGACCAGGTCGATCGGCTCGACTCGCCCGGGTCGGCTCGACTTGGTATAGGTGCCCTTTTTTTACAGAACCGACACCTATAATATATTATAGGTGTTGGTTCTCTTAAATAACCGATACCTATAGTATTGGTACCAGTTTTAACTAATGAACCGGCACCTATACTACTTTGTAAAGGTGTCGGTTCTTTATTTTTTTCATCTTGTGGATGTGGGAAAAGTCCTATAGGTGTCGTGTTTTACATGAACCGGAACCTATAAGGCTGATACCTATAAAGGTTTTTGTAGTAGTGAAATTCTGTCTGTGAAATTATAACAAGGGATTTGGGGCAACAAACCAACAGTGAAAATCATTTTTGCTAGCAGCCCACTTAAGTAACTTGCAACAAACATCGGTTTTTGCTCGTGGTAAGGAGCACTGACTATGGGATGAAATTCCCTATGTTAAAATCTCGCACCGATCTTATCTTCTCCTACTTTCACGATCTTATCTCCTCCCACTCTCACTTGGACTCTCCCTGTCCTTCCCCACCTCTCCTCTTCCCTTCCCCTACCCTGTGCCCCCACGTTCTCCCTCACCTCTTGTCTTCCCTCCCCAACCCTGTGGCCCCACCTCACCCCTCTCTGACTTCTCTTCACGTCAGTGACCACGGTGGACCGGTGACGGCGGCGACAACGGTGGACTACGAGGGGCGTGGGCCGTGGATCCTCGGCCAGGAGGGGCGCAGGCGTGGTGGATTCGGCCGCCACAGGGCCACGGGTGGTAAATCCTATCGTCAGAGGGCCACGGTAACGTTGCCCTCCCTCCCCTCACTCTCTCAGATCTGATGGCCACCCTGATTTCCCCTCTCCTTCCTCTCTGTGATCCGATGGCGGCGACCTTGCCTCCCCCCACCCCCCAATGCGACGGCGGCTTCCTGCAGTCTCGAGGTTCACTCGAAGACAGCGGACGCAGCAGCGACGGCGATGGCGACGGGTGGCAGATCCGGTGGTGCGATGGTTGTATACCGGCTATACCCTCCCTCTCCCATATTTGGCCGTAGGGAGATGGCGGTGGCAGTAGCCGAGGGGTTGGCAGAGAATGGAGGATCCTCAAATCTCCAACCTCCATTCTTGTGGCATCCTCAATCTACTGGAATATATATTTCACTGAAAGGCAAAGTTCTGTCATATCATACTCAACTGTCTCTCCTTTTCTGGTCAAAATTCACGATGGAGATTTGGTCTATAGCTTCTGTTACAACACTTCAATAGGGTGAAAATGAATGAAAATGTGTGCGGCCCGGTGACAGGTAGCTGTCGATGGGCGGCGCTAGGCCTTGTGACCAGTGGGTGAGCAGCTAGTTCGGGGAGGGCGCTGAGACTCAGTTGGGCGTGATTGAATGCGTGGGTCGATCGGCGACAACGTTGGCCGGAGATGCGAGGTGGTCAGTGGCAGTGAGTGATGGAGTAAAACCTGATGATTGTGATGGCTGGAGGCGGCACACGGTGGGATCTCGCCAAAGCTGCTTGCCAAGGGATGTCGAGGAGGTCAACAACCGGAACAAAATGACCTGGTGGCTTGCTGGGAGGTTGGGGGAGGATGGCAATGACGCGCGAGGGATGATGACGATGGCGTGCCATCGAGAATTTCCCTCACCAATAAAAACAAGAGGATGGGGCATGTAAGGTTGAGCCTCCGGGACTTGTAGTTTGGAGAGGTGATTTAGGGGCTTCCCCATATTGAGGGCTCTAGTAGGGACCCTGCTGGACCTGTACTTTTGATATCAACCGTAAAAGAATATTTGGGGACTATATTTGAGGATCCCGCTGGAGATGCTCTTACGACCCTGAACACTATTATGATCCACACCTTGAATCATACTCCACCTTGTAGGATCGAACAATATGAAGCAAACGAATCAGAGGGGTGTGAATTGTTGTAGTACCCAAAAACCAAACCTTCCAGAGGAATAAAAAATTAGATAGCGATCGGTGAATTCGCTCTGGTCTGACTGCCCACCATGTCGTTGTTGCCTCTCGCCGCTGCCAATCTGACTGCCATATTCCCACTGGTCTGACCGCGCCGGTGTCGTCGGTCTGACCACCGGTGTTCCATAAATCGAAAATCTCCCAAATTAGATTGAATCTTTATTACTTCTCTATGTGTTTACAAAGTGGAACAACAACACTCCTCACGGAAATCTCGACTAAACACGAAACTCTAACTTTTCTCACAACGCAACTCTCTCAAAATCGATACCGGGAGGCCATACCCTCACTCTCTTTATACCCATGGTAGGCATCCTAAATCCACGAACCAACCTTGTACAAGATGTCCTAATCCCCTAGGAAACCTTCACGTACAAGAAACGGACATTACAAACTCCAATTGTACTAAATTTGGACTACTCCAAATTTGACTCCACCTCTCATACGCACACAATATCTCCATCGTATACCATATAGAATCTTCACCAACCATATGCATTGATGTCAAAGCTTGACTACTTCAACATCTCTGGCCCGAGAGACAGTGTGTGAAGACCTGATGGACCGTTGGTGCCTACAGGGACTATACATGTGAGACCATCGTTATACAGTAAAGGGGCGGGGAACGGTTAACGGACACTAATGTGTGAATGGAGAGATTGTTGAATCGTCCCCCACATTGATTTTGGATGGTCAAGAGACCTAATAAGTGGGGGAGCACCATAATTCATTGGCTATCTTTTAGGTGGGAAAAGCTTTTTATGATTCTATAGAACCCAGCTGTACCGAACAACGCAATCAATTCTTATATACGTGGCATTCCTTACTCTACTTATATATGACAAGACAGGAAGAACAGGATGTGAAGGAGATAAAGAAATTCGATAGAACATCAATGGGTTCTTGCCGTGGTAGCTAGGATGCAAATCCTCTACAGTACTGCTGATGCAGTAGCAGTGGTTGACATGTGGGTCCGGGCCCACATGTCAGTGTCTGCTACTGCATCACTGTGGTAGCTAGGGTTGGGAGTAACCGGGAACCATCTTATTACACACAACCATCTTCCTACAAAATTCTCAGCTGATTATTTGTCAGGTTAGTAGGCTTCAGTATGCACATCTACCCGTCACGGTTCATTGATTATATTGATCTCAGAAGGACGGTACAGCATAGATTAGTGGAAATTTCAAAATAGGCACAATTGCATCCATACCCTCACTTTGAACTCTAACTACTGTTTTACCCCCCACATTTTAGGGTTTGCATTTTTCCCTCTCTTTTTGAATATGAACCAATTGTTTACCCTCATTTTTAACGTCTAGTTTAATAGTGTTAGTTTTAGAACAAAAGGACATTTATACCCTTAGTTGATGTTGCTTTTTTGCCCCAACTTTTATACTGCCTGCTTCTCGTGCCGGAAGCCCCGTTGCCGTCTGCCTCGCCGCGCCGGAAGCCCCACGGCCGCCACAGGCCATCGCCACGCCGGAAGCTCCACAACCGTCGCCTGCCATTGCCGTGCAAGTGAGATGGAAGCCTGCGACTGCCGCCTACCTCACCGCACAAGGGAGAGGGAAGTGTAGCCGCCGCTACACCGGAGACCTGTCGTCGACTCGCGCTCAACTGCTGCCGCGGCCATCGCCGCATGCACTTCCTGACAGAACTGCCGCGCACGCTGGAATCGACACCATCGCGGCGGTTCCCGCCCTCGCCGCGCATGTCGGAACCGCCACCGTCGCCGAGCACACCGAAGCCGTTGCCGGTCGCCGCCTCAACACAACTGAGCTCAGCGAAGGAATGGGCTTGGGTCCTTATCCATTCACTCAAGGGTACAATAGTAAATTAAATCCTTTTTCTGTTTCAATTTGTATTTTTTTAACCCAAAGCCATGGGTGTCATCTAACGGGTGTCAAGAGTGAGGGCAAACGGCGTGTTCGTTTTCAAAAAGAGGTGGCAAAAATGCAAACCCTAAAAAGTAGGGGTAAAATAGCAGTTGACATTCAAAATGAGGGCATGGATGCAATTGCCCCTTAAAAATATAAGTAAAAACACTTCAAGCAAAGTCAAAGTACTCTGCTACTTGCTAACCGAGGACTATGTCACGGTAATGATTCGCCATACATTCCACTTGCTCATGCTTTGCTCCAAGCTTGTGTTTCATTATAGAATTTACTTATCATCTGCTCCTCCATTTGCTTCCCTCTACTCCACTAACTATTCAATTTCTTTGTTATATGATGTTGTTTAGTTACATGACCAGGTGAAGTGTTTTGGGGATGGACTGATAAAAGAATAGCTACTACCCCAATTTTTTGTTGCTCTGTCAGTAATGTGTATGAAGTTCAGTACATGCATTCATTCATCCCATTAAACATCAGAATCAAACAAGGCGCCCATTGAACTCGGCTATACAATTCTTGAATGACTGAAATGTTTATTAGACGATAAATTTCCTCTGTACCATACCATCTGATCTCCTATGCTCTATAAAAGAGCAGATGAAGTGTAGTAGCAACCTGTTTTTCTTGGCTGATGTTGAGAGATATGAACAACAGGAGCTCATTGTGTTTAGCCAGTCTACTCACTGCTTAGCTTGCTACGTACGGTAGGCCTGGGTGGCATTGGGACATCTCACATAAGCCAGCGGTAAGCTGTTGACTGACCACTCTGCAGTTCCAGTCTCAAGCAAGTTACAGACTCAGAGTACATCAATGGACATGTTTGGTGTTCAAGCCTGAACCATTTGATGTTAGCAACCGGTTTCTCCACACCTTGCAGAGTTTTCCAGGGTTGTTTGGTACTTGCTTCTCGAGTGGATCTGGTCATCTCAACGTCGAGAAACCCATCTCCGGTCTACTCAGTTGTCTTGCCTAGGGGAACATGAACCTTGTAAACTTGGAACAACTGATTTGGGTGAGGCGGTGGCTGAATAAGGTTACTTTGTGATCATTCGCACGAGCACGGCGGAGCAGAGCAAGACACTTTGACTGAAACGGAGAAGGCAGGGTTGGGTTTCCTTCGCAAAATTCCAGCAGTCGCCGTCATCCTCGAAACCTCTCGCCGATGACACTGTGACGCTCTCCACGAACACATACGCTTGCAAGCTAGGCGACGCAGCCACACAGCACGGCCTGTGCCAGCAACGATGTGTGATAATTAATAAGATTACTGTTGGAGATCGTCTAGGTAGCCTCTTCTATCTGATAAACTGGTACCTAGCATCTCTACTGACAAAATAAAACTGTCACAAACAGAAACATCAGCACATTAATTTGGTCTCAATTTCTCTTTTTGCTTCAGTACTACCTAGCTAATAGAGAATAATAACAGCATTAGCAGTTTGTTAAGCGTTCAACTCAGCTGTACAGAACTACTGGAGAAAGCGCTCAATTTTCAGAAAGGATCCTGCCCTTCTTGCCATACTTATAAAAGACAACACCAAGTATTATAGGCCGAGGGGGAGCGATGAAGAAGAGTCGATGGAGATTGATTACTCTAGTGTCTTGCCTATTGTAGGCTTGGGTGCAGTCCTATTACCGATAACCAGCTTCATACCAAATTCTTTGCTGATCATGTCTCAAATCAGAAGGCACAAGTAGGGATGAAAACGGATCGGATACGGTCGGAAACTACCTTTATCATATTCGTTTTCATATTTTTTCTCGGAATCGAAACCGGAATCGGAAACCCGGATACGAAAACGGAATCGAATATTATCGAATACAGATACGGAGCGAATACGAATCGAAACGAATACGGTAACGAATATTAATCGGAACATAAAACCCCCTCAAACTGACCTTCACAAATCAATAAAGAAATATAACTTCTTGTTTTTTCTAATAGAGCATGTTACATTTGCAAAGATCAACAATTAATAATACTATAACGAGAAACATCCACAAACTTGCTGCAATGGCACCTGCATCAGACACTTGTGGTTGTGGGTTGGCATCAGCTACTTGCGTCGGCTCAGATGGTGTTAGGTTTGTTGGCAAAGCTGCTACACTCGCACTGCACAAGCTGAAGCTGCTGCTACTTGCATGAGAGGAATTCATCACAGATTCACAGATCTACCACACATGCAAAAAAAAAAAAAACAAATGAATAAGGAGCACCACAACAGCACAACTCGATGTGAATGAGGAGCACAACTAGCTTTCCAAATGAAATGCACTCCGACGAACCTGCTTACGGGCCTACGGCGAGACGATGATGCGGCAGACCGGCAGTGGCGGTGATACGGCGATGCGACGACGCCGGCGAAGAGGAGGCGGCTGTTGGCCGACGCGACGACGCCGACGAAGAGGCGGCGGCTGTGGCGAAGGGGCGAGGCGGCGGCGGCGGCGGCAAAGAGGTGAGGTGGCGGAGGCGGCGGCGAAGGGGTGAGGACGCGGCGGCGAAGGGGTGAGGCGGCGGCGGCGGCCGCCGGCCGGGATGCGTGGGGGTCGGGGGAAATCGGGGAATGGGAGTAGTCGGCTGGCTCGGCTGCCTGTTGCCTGTTGGTTGTTGCTAGCTAGCTAGGATTTGCATAACACAATAGTACAGTACACACGTAGTTGGGCTGGGTTGGGCTCTTTGGGCTGATTCTGATGAATGGTTGATGAAGGACTCCGGATATCCGGGAAAAATTTCTGGATAGTTTCCGACCGTTTTCCGTTTCCGTCGAATATCACCCTTACTGTATTTATTTTCGTATCCGAGAAAAAAATCCGTATTCGTTTCCGAATCCGAAAATTTCCGGATAGTTCCGACCGAATTTTGCCGTATCCAAAAATTGGTCCGAACGGAAGGAAACTATCCGAACCAGTTTCATCCCTAGGCACAAGTAACCACATCTAGCTATGTTCTCAAGGGATCATCATCTGAAAATTTAACGTTTGTGTAAATATATGTAGCATATGACAATACTCCTTATTTTGAAAATATGTAAATGCCTAACAATACATAAAACACTAAATTCAATTAATGGCATTGTAAATTTGCCGTATTAGAAAAAGGCAATTACTATTCGTGAAACCTTGTGGGTGCCACTGAAACTTTCTAAGATTTGAACCACGGCATTGCCACCGAGTTTCCTGTCATCTTCTCCCCCAAATCCTGTTCCATCTAGATCCAGGGAAGAAGCCGTGAAAGGCGAGGAAAGCGGTGACGTGCTCGCCTTCGCCATGTCGAACCGCTCGACGACGCCGGTGAGCTGTTCTCTAGTCAGGAAACGGTCGGCGTGGCTCCTCTGTTGACGGCGGAGGGCGGCAGCGACGTGGACGAGAAGGTGTCGTGACTGCCTCTCATGAGGGTGGTTGGCCGCCCAGGGGCGCAACATCTCACAATCTCGCTGCTGATCTTCCAAACTAGCGGCCCTTGGACACCAGCACACGAGGCAAGATGCAGCCGCGAGCTCCTATAGACTTCATCGGGACGTCATCGCTCGGCGGCAACGCAACTAGCTGATCACAGGGGTCTGCTGTTGTCCTTCGCCCTGCGGCATCTGCGTGGACTGCTTCCTGTAGGATCGAATCACAAGAACTAAGCCAACCAGAGGGGGGTGAATGGTTGGTATACCCAAAAACCGAAAACTTTTAGTGGAAATAAAAGTTACCCTCAAAGTCGATGGAGATCGGTCTGACCAAAGTTGTCTTGCCGGTCTGACCGCTCGGATGCCGTCGGTCTGACCGCCCGTATATCGCCGGTCTTATCGCCGCTTGCTGCCGGTCTGACCGCCGGTAGATCGCCGGTTAGACCGCCAAAACCCGGTGAAACACAAATCGAAGAACTCTAAAAGTGGATGACGACTTTATTGATTCTCTCTGTGTTTACAAAGTGCACCAACAGCACTCCTTACAAAATATTCGACTAAACTCGAAACCCTAACTCAAAACTCAACTCAATTGCTCTCTAAAGCGATACCGGGAAGCCTCACGCTCCCCCTCTATTTATACATGAGGTCGGTAGCCTAATGCCACGAACCAAACTCATACTAAGAGTTCTAAACACCTTAGGAAACCCTCTAGTACAAGAAAAAAAACTTTACATAACCAATCGTACCAAATTCGGACTCCTTCCAAATTCGACTCCGCATCCCATACGCACACAATACCTCCATCGTATGCCATATGGAATCTCCATCAACCACGTGCATCAACTCTAGCCTTAGTATCCCGCATGATCTCTGACCACCACGGACGTCGTCTTATCCCCAAGCTGATTCCAGGTCCATCACTGCGAATACTCTCCCGAGACATCGAGTCACCTACACATGAAATAAACAAAGAAATCATATTCCGAGACCAAGCTATCTCCAACTTGATTCATTAGTAGCAAACAACCGTATTACATACGTTTAGTATCCATCTAGAAGTCATAATAATGAAATAATCACGGATATTGTAACGGACCCAAAATTTCAGGGGAATTTTTTTGCGAAATGTTTTAAGTCATGCTCTTCTCGATTCTTGCATTGGAGTGATCTTGCTTCTAATCTTTCCTTTGATTTTGGACTTAAACTTTATTTGCAAAGTTAATAGCTCCCTTTTAAATTCTATAAAACATTTCCATTTGTTTTCTGTAATATCTAACTTTGGCTCTAAATTATATTTCCTTTGAATCTATTCCCGAACACCTCCAACAAATACCCTTTCAATTCCCGCTCAACCATCTCTAGAGCACATGAAATATCAATCTCTCTAGAGTTAATACCTTTTTATTTAGAGTTTACCACACTACCACCAAATCTAGTTTTATCTTCCACACATATTTCCCCTTTGAAATATCGTTTATCTAAATTATCCATTCGAGATTTCAAAGTTTATTATTTAGCTTGGGCCAATACTTCCCCGATTGACCCGACTCTCTGTTATATCCCATTAACCATTTTTATCTTTGGACTAAACCAGTATAACTCCCTTTTTGTTGGAATTTATTTTGGATCACACCTCTATCTAAACCTATCCCCAAAAACCTTTATTTCCTCTACATCGATCCAAAACATTCAAGGGTCAAGTTCCTATTTTGATCAAGCCGCCTGTTTGATTCCTATGGCTTGATTTCCTCCTCGGCACAAGAACTATACTATCACAAATAATTGAGTGATTGCTCTTGTGCTAAGAAACTTATTTCCAATCCCTTCTATTCAAAGTCCAACTTCGTTTAGCCACAAATATTTCATCGAGAATCCATACCCCATATTTTGGAGGCTAAAATCCTAGTTATTTACCTCCATCTATTTTTGACGTCATCCAAAATTTATCCAAAGTTAGAAGATCAATTATTTGTGTTCCTTTTCCTCCCATTTGATTATTTCAATCTTACATTTTTAAATATTAAAGAAAATCTTTTGTGACAACTTTTATATTTGGTTCTTATTGAATTCTATAAAATTGGAGAATCTTTATTTTTATCCTTTTCAAAATTTATATCTTAAAATAAATATCTTTGATTTTATTTTAAAAATATTTCAAACTCCTTTTGCTTTAAAACCCTTATTCAAAAGACCCCCAAATATTTCTCTTTTAAATCTATTAAAACCCTCCATTCAAATTTTCCCTTAGTTTTCATCTCCTTTGAAATTCCATTTCAAATCCCTCCACACAAAATTCCTAAAACCCCTATTCATTTTGGGCCGAATTCCCTTCAATTAACCCAATCAGCACAAGTCTACATGTCTCCTTCCCCCCTCTTGGGCTGTCAGCCGAGCCGAGCCGAGCCGGCCCAAATCGGCCCATGGCCGAGCCGCTCCCTCCTCCTCTGGGTGCACTTGGCGCACGCACAGGGCGCCGCCTTCGCCGCCGTCTCGCCACTTCCCGATGCCGCCCGCCGTTTTGCGCCGCCGCCGTCGTCTTGCCTTCGACGCGAAGGATCCGTCACCAACGTCAGCTGCGACATCACGCCGCCGACGTCAGCCGCCGAATCGAACCGCCGAATCAACGAATAGAGCTGGCGCCGTGCTCCACTTCTCCACGCCGCCGTCGCCGGGTTCTCCTTATTTTCTTCCTCCGCAACCGCCTTACGCCACCGCCTCTCGCCGCCTATAAAAGGATGACGAGGTCCCCTCTTCCCCCTCACATAAACCGAGCTCCTCAAGCTCTCTTTCTCTCTTTCTCTCCCATGTCCGGCCATTAGTACCACCGGCCGATCTCCCTCACCGGAGCTTCGCAAGCCAAACCCTCGCGCCACCAACTCCGCCTCGTCGAGGTGATTCCACTTTTCCCTTTCCCGATCACTCCACCTTGAGATAAACCGCCACCACCACGTTCTCTTATCGGCCGGTCTGAGATCTTGCTACCGCCGTTCCGGCCATCTCCCTCTCTCCCTCCGCCTTCCACCACTTTCCCCGGGTGCGCGTTGCTCGGAAACACCATCTCCCACCGGCGTTCCTACCTCCCGGCCACCAGAGAGCCGGCACCTCGCTCGCTCTCCCTTCTATTTCCTCTCGGCTGCCAGAGAGAAGAAAAGAAGAGGTAGAAGAAACATATGACAAGCGGGCCCCACCTTTTATAAAGTAATTCCATTTTCTTTTATCCAGTTCCAATCTTTGAGCATCCATATCTCTCCAACCATTGATCCAATTAGAAAAATTCTTTGACCTAAATTCATCTATTTTCAAACCCTTTATTTTGATACCAAATTTCCTATTTTAAAATTTTATTTAAAAACATTTTTAATTTAAACCTACTTGATTTATCTTAAATCCCTTTAATCTTAAATTTCTTGTTTTACTTAAAAAGCCTTTTCAAATTAAATTATATTTTTATTATTTCTTTAAATATCTTTTCTTTATTTATTTAAATACCATTTTAAATTCTATCTATTTAAAAACCCTTTTTGAATTCAAATTCCTTTGATTTATTTAAATACTTCTTTTTTATTTTTAAACCATCCTTTAGCCACCAAAAAGCCATCGTGGGAACTTTACGCCTTCCATGGAGACGTTTGCGTAGGCTCAGACCCCGACGTCAAACCGTTGGTCGTAAAACCCGGCATAACCTAATCCTAAGGTCGAAGTGTTGCTCTTCGCACCCCACGCCTCGACGCGTATAGTGGTCAGAGCCTTACTATTCCCTCGACCTCCACAACATGCCGCACACTAGCTTTGGGCTTTGTGCGATCCTAGCCGCTCTACTACCACTCACGGCAATAGAGTAACATTCTCCATCTTGCAAACCAACACAAATTTTCTTAACTCCGTAGTCGTTGTGCTGCTTAACTGTAGCATCGACTAGACGAGCCAAATATTTAGCCGTTATGCTACCCATCCTTAGCATCGGCTAACCACTCCAAATATTTAGCCGTCGTGCTACCCTACCCTAGCACCGACTAGAAACCAATCCACCAAATAAACCCCACCTATCCAAAATTATCCTTTCTTCGATTTTAATCAATTTCCGACCTATAGAAACTATCATCTCTCTTTTATCCTTCAAATTAAAATTAAGTTTATTCTATACACATTCTTTTCTCCTCTCGCCTCGCTCTAATTTTATTTACTCCTTGGTTTTTATCGTTTCTTTGTAGCAATTTGCTTATAGGCTTTATTTGCTATCTTTTTCGTATTCGTATGTTAGACCGTACAGCAAGTTCTATCGGCATCCAAGGAGCTGACGTGGA